TCAGTGAAACAGAAACAAAGACAATTGGTAAACCAAGAGAGACATACAAATAAAAGCAAATACAAACTGAAAGGACCTTAGAATTTAAATTTTTGGAAACCAACAACAAAAGGTTAATCACTGTAACAAACAACTTGTCCAGTGTATAGGGCCAAAAAAACTTAATCCCATCACAACAGCAAATTATGATGAACTTTATCTTCCCAAAATAAACCCCAAAAAGTAGCAAAAACCCAACATAGAGGAATAACGGGCAATATAACATATTTAGGCTATTTTTCATTGTACAGTCTTTAACCAAATTAAATATTCTTATACTTTTTGGTTCATAAAAACCCTATAGGCTTTATCTGCATATAAATCCAACAAAACATGCTTGACTTTCTTTTTGTAGAACTCATAAACACCTAAATCCGATGGCAATACAAAGGACATCCTTAAAAAACAGATAAATAAAAAATCCGGTGTTGTTTCTTGAGGGAAATGTCTGGAGAACCTAGCAAGAAGAACTTACCTGAAGATACATATGCTTCAACAGTAAAGGTTATAATTTTTCTTGGAAAAGTAAAATGTTACTGCCTATATATACAATGGTAGCTTCTTCTATTAGCTTCTTCTCAACTAATGTATAGAATATTATATTATTAGTGGAGACAAATCAAATCAGAAGCCAATATAAAAATATTAATGTGGCTAAAATTAAACACATTAGACCTAAAAAAAGTAAAAAAAGCTAACCAAAAGCTGCAAGCAAATATTTTGAATGATATCAACAAGATACTTTGTAATAATTTCAATCAATTGCCCCATACAATAGACGGCTGCATACAATATACATTGTAGAATTTGAACAGAAGAGCACTATGAATTTGTCCTCATCATGTAACTATTTTTCCAATTAAACTCAAATAAAAATGAATATTAAATTGGCATACAAAACAAAAAACCATCAACAAATCTCATAGCTGTAACATTTCATAAGTCAAAGAAGGAGAGCGAGCAATGTAAACTGTAAAAAAAGTTTATAAAAAAAAAATAAATAATAAAAAAAGGAGCTTTCCTGGTATGCATTTGCAACAGATTAAACCAGAATAGAGCCGAATTAAATTTCCTTGCGCCTACAAAACAAGATNACATACCAAACCTTCCATGTTAATTTCAGAGGTAAACGTGCTAAAATACATAAAATTAAACTGACGCGAACCCTCAAACAATAGATCAGCCGAAAATCTCAAAAAAATTTCTGAAATTATTTACCTGCAATTGACCCAGCGCAATCACGCAAAAACAACAAAATAGACCTCCACTGGAACTAAACAAAGATGACCCAACTGTATAATTTGGAGACTGTAGCTGAAAAACAAAAACAGATTCAGAGTTACTCATCGAGGAAGACGACGGGATTGGAAAAATCGTTCTCGTCGAAAAAAAAATACTTATAAAATGACCCAAAAGGCAAAAAAAAGATAACCTCACACCAAAGGAACGACACCGTTTCGAATAAAGATCATCATTTTTTTTTTCTTTTTTTGGGAACAGTCTTCAGATTCCTCGCGCACGTGTCGTAAAGGAAGGTCGATCGTCTCTTCTTTTTTTTTTGAACAGGTATAATACAAAGGCTTCAAATTCCTTGCGCCACGTGTCGCGAAAGGAAGGCTCTTAGCATCTTTTTATATATTAAGAGTAAAGATATCTCTGAAAATTGACCCAAATATACTAAATTAGACTAACACGAACAAAGGTCTACAATAAGGACCTAACTTAAAAGACCAAGATGGCGACTTCAATGTAAATTGTGCTTTCACAATTGCTAGTTCTTCATTCTCATTCCTTCTAATTTTTATAGTAATTACTTGGTTGTAGTGTTGGTAAAAATCTTACTTGAGATTTTCTTTAAAAAACAAATAAAATATTACTTATATTAAAAATAAAACTGAAAAAAAAAATCATTTCTTACTCGGAGGGGTTTGCCCGAGGGCGGCTAATCGCCAGTCATCACTTAGAATCTTTAGATTGCCCACACGTACGCCACGTCACCACCCCCAAGACCCACTTCAATCTTAATATATATCTCCCGCGCCACCTCAACAATTACAAAAAAGAATATATTTGCACGCTCAAATTACCAAATTACCCATGGACATCGCAGCTGAAACTGGCGGCGGAGAGCAGCCGAAGAAGGCGGCGCGTCGGTCGAGGAAGGGTTGCATGCGCGGAAAGGGCGGCCCGGACAACGCCCTCTGCACCTACCGCGGCGTCCGGCAGCGGACGTGGGGCCGCTGGGTGGCCGAGATCCGTGAGCCCAAACGCGGCTCCCGCGTCTGGCTGGGCACCTTCAACACCTCCCTCGAGGCCGCGCGTGCGTACGACGACGCCGCTCGCCGCCTCTACGGCGACGCAGCCAAGCTCAACCTCCCAGAAGAGGGTGGCGCCCACGAGGTGCCGGTGGCGGAGGATGCTCCTCCGGCGGCCGAATCCGCCGCCGCCGGAGAAGGCGTTTGCGGCGAATGGCTGCCGGAATACTTTGAGGAGGGTTTTGGGGAGGCGAGCAGCCTGTGGGAGGTGCCGGCGGCGCCGACGCTGCTGGACGAGAAGCAGGGGTGGAGCTGGCCGGAATATGAGCCGGATTCCATGGATGACCACCAAGTTCCGCCGGCGTGCTAGGCTGAATCTTGCCGAGAGAAGTTTGGAAATTTTTTTTTTGTTTTGAATAAGAAAAAAAGAGAACTTTCGTGATATGTATTTTGGTAGTATGGTTTGATTTTCTTTTTTGTTCGATTTTGGTTTATATGAATGTTAAAATGAACGATTGTTAAAAGAGTGTTGTTCCATTTTTATTTATTTTTTAGTATGAAGACTACTATATAATCGGGGTCCTAAGTAAATATTCAACAGCACTGATTATATTTTGGCCAAATTGCAAATTAATTCAAGATCACAACCTTCTAATTTTGACAATATGAAGTGATAAACGTTCAATTTTGGCAAATGACAAAAGTAAAAACAAAATTAGGGTGGACATAACTATAACTGCGGAACACCAATATAACCAGTTTGTTAGATAATGTTAACTGCATGTTTCAATGCGCAAAAATTCAAAAGCTCATGCCTTTTTATTGTCAAAATTGGGATTAAATTACGAATGCACACGCAAACATTTGACATTCGTTTGTTGACACCATTTTGTAATTTGTAAATCAAAAGCCTAAACTGATTTTGTTAGAATATCACTTGTGAGTTATCCCACATCGTTCATATATAGAAAATAGACTCACCTTATAAGATTAATAGACTATTCCTCCTTCCATCAATTGATTTTGGGATAGAATCCTATTTGGGCTTCATATGGGCTTTTCCCTTCTTTTATAGTGTTCTTTATGGTAGTGGACCAACACCCATTTTTTCCCAATTTCTGTCATATTTGGAATCAAAAGCCTAAATTGATTTGTAAATCAAAAGCCTAAATCAATTTATCCTATTTTTTTAATAGATTTGGAATGAAGACGTGAACTGAAAAAAGCAAACATATTGAGATTTCATCATCAATTTATCCAAAACTATGTTGGAAAAAAGATGAACTAAAGGATATACGATTCAGCTAGGTGACGTGATAAGCATAAAACAAAAACACACGTCCAGTCATAAGATTCTGTTTCCTCTTGTTTTGTTAGTTATAATCGATCGAGTCGGCACTTTGCCGGGCACAAGTAGAGATCAAACATCAAAACTTACTTTAATTGGGCCGATAAATCTACATATAATGCTAAGCAAGTTGCTGGGCCGCAAGGAGAGAGCAACTAATAAATTTGGGGCAGACAATTACCAGACAAAAGTAAAATCTCATTAATTAAAAGTCGTGGTTTTGGGTGGAACAAGTAAGCTAACAGTTATTGTGGCGCAGTTAACTTTGGTTTTCTTTCTTATAAGGTGAACAAATAATGCCTACATGGCTACAAACAATAACCAAATACAAAATCATTAAAAGCCAGCCTCATTATTNCGGTACTCCAAATGACTGGATTCAATAATTTTTCCTATACTACTCCTAAAATTGACTCTTTCATGTAATATCTTGTTTTATTATCACAATTTTTGTCCATAACCACTTGTTACAACACTTGATTACTTGGTTATAACCTCATGCAATATTACATGCTATATATATAGGGAGACAATACTTTAATATCTCCTCACCCCAAACATACAACAAACACAATAGTATACTAGTCAATTTTATTATTCTTCTGAGCACAAAAGGGATTGCAAATCCAATTCTTTTTTCCCTTCATTCTTTTTATCAAAGATGGCAAAAGATTTAGTGGATTTTTCAGTTTCTTTTGTTGCCTTTTGGCTCATGTTAACATTGGGAGATTTGACTACTCATAGTGAAGCTAGGGAGCAAGAAAGAGCATTCTTTGTGTTTGGTGACTCTTTGGTTGATAATGGCAATAATAATTACTTGTTGACAACTGCTAGGGCCGATGCCCCACCTTACGGCATTGACCACCCGTCTCATAGGCCCACAGGCCGGTTCTCAAACGGGCTTAACATCCCCGATATCATCAGTAAGTTACAAAATCCCAATAACATAGAAAAAAAAAATTGTCTTTTTTTTTAATATATAGTTTTTTTAATTGTTGTTTGTGATTGAAAAATCAAAAATAGGTGAACACATGGGCTGGGAGCCCACACTCCCATACTTGAGCCCAGAGCTTAGAGGGCCTAAACTAAGAATTGGTGCCAACTTTGCTTCTGCTGGTGTGGGTGTGCTTAATGACACTGGAATTCAGTTTGTAAGTCTTTTCATGTTTCATTCATATATTTTCAATAAAATTTTGCTTGTGAAGAGAAAGTGTAAAAGAAAGAATGCATTTCATGTTTTACATTTGTGTACAATACTAATTTAAGTTGTTCACAGAAAAGGTAACAAATTTAACCCGTTAGATCATAGATCAATTTATTGGTAGATTTGACTCTATTCCATGGAAATTTTAATCGTCTGGTCACATACACGAACGCCGTTAAATTCACCAAATTTGTATAATGAAAAATTGAAAAATCGTGAATTTGATTATATTTATGTTTGCAGGTTAATATAATTAGGATATACCAACAACTGAATTATTTTAAGGAATATCAAGAGAGACTAAGAGCACTAATAGGAGAAGAAGAGACCGAGAGAGTGTTGACCGCGTCGTTGACTCTCATCACTTTAGGCGGCAACGATTTTGTCAATAATTACTATTTAATCCCTTACTCCGCAAGATCTCGCCAATTTACACTCGACAATTATGTGCCCTTTGTCATGTCCGAGTATCAAAAGGTCTTGCAGGTAATAACAATTAACACATGAATGATTCATATTATTTTTCGAATATCTCTACAATTCGAAAAATCGACATAAATTAGGCATTTTTATCGATCATGAACTAAAAAATAAACTTATGTTTGGACGATGCAGAGACTTTATAGCCTAGGGGCTCGTCGGGTAATTGTGACGGGCACGGGCCCACTAGGGTGCGTCCCGGCTGAGTTGGCGTTGCATAGTAGAAACGGTGAATGTGCCGAAGAGCTGCAAAGGGCTGCCGAGCTATTTAACCCTCAGCTCGAGCGTATGCTTAGGGAGCTCAACGATGAGATTGGGCACGATGTTTTTATTGCAGCTAATACGAACCAAATGCACATGGATTTCATATCCGAGCCTACACGTTTTGGTATAGATTTGAACTTAAATCTCCTAGTTTTTTTTTTATTATTATTATTATTATTATTATTATTATTATTATTATGTTATTAGTTTTTAATTCATTATGCAATAATTTTTTGGGTATATGTGGGCAGGATTTATTACCTCAAAGATAGCTTGTTGTGGACAAGGCCCATATAATGGGTTGGGCCTTTGCACACCACTTTCAAACTTGTGCCCAAACAGAGATTTATACGTCTTTTGGGATCCCTTTCATCCATCTGAAAGGGCTAATAGAATGATAGTCCAACAAATATTGGGAGGATCTGAAGAGTACATGAAGCCCATGAACCTCAGCACTATTATGGCTTTGGATTCAAAGGCTTAAGAAGCCCACTTATAATGTTATTGGATTCTGAAACATCAGCCCATAAAGCAGCAGCTCGTCAGCCTTTGTTAATTTTACCTTTGGTTACCAACTCAAATGTATTTTCGTTTTATCTTCATTTTTACTTGTATTCTTCAGTTGCATACAACTATTTGTATGTTGCTAGTGATGTTTGTACTTGCGTGGACCTTAATCATCAATTTAATGGAATAAATGTGGATTAATTTATTTTATTTTTACAATTTTATCTGATCCAAATTTACCGAATTAGTTATGTAATTAACGGATTATTTTGATGCAGTCATCTGAAAATTAACTAACAATGTCCGCTATTCGTTGAGTCCTTGGAATTATATTTTTAAGTCTTTCTTAAGTCTTAGATCCAATTTCTAATTAATAATTAATTACATGTAGCTTATACGTCCCGTTGTACACAGAGTAAAAGTGATTTAAGGTCAAGCTACGTAAACTTTTGTCTCCATCAATTTGAAAAATAATGATTGCATAATGTAGAAACATCATCACACAATTATATCTTCAAAGCGAAAAAACGGTCTTAGGGTTTAGGAAACTTTCTCATGAGCCATCATTAAAAGGAAAAATGACATGTATGTATTAATTACCAAATAATTAAATGCATCGAAATTTCTGGCAAAAAAGAAAAAATCAGAAAAAGGAAAACATAAATATTAATTTACAAGGAGTGACTGAAAAGAAAAGAAAGCAGGGGAGTTGGTCTGTTTGGAGAAAAATTAATGGTGAAGATAAGTGCTGAGGAAGAAGGGTAGGTCTCAATATGCTTGATTTATAATGCTTAAAATTCTACCCGTTTCAACTGTTTTCCCTTTAAATTTTATTTTCCCCTTCATCTTTGGTTCATTCCACTGTGTGTAGTTTGAGGAAAAAAATAGAAAAATAAAACTCCATCCATTTTTTTTTTTTTTGGGTCATAATATTAATTCTCATGCAGATAGATATATAAGTTATAATGTGAATTCAATCAAGCTGCTGATTGCTGAATGTCTGACTTAGAAAGGAAAAAAGGTTCAAGCCCACACCCATGAGTGTGTGAGAGAGAAAGTGAGTTGT